GAGGAGCCCTAGGCCAAGTGGAGCCTTGGTGGTCAGCCACCTGCATGTGGGCCCCATGGAAGGAGAGGGCAGACCATCCAACCTTTAGCTTCAGTGCTCCCTGCTGGGCAAATGTGTTTTTGATGCGGCCAAGTCTGAGGTCTTCTTGCAGATGGGACTTGTGATGTATGTGCTCCCTTTTCCACACGTACCCAGTGCCCTGCCCTGGGTGTTTGCAGCCTGCCAGGCACATGCACCTGAGCCTGTGTTGGGGGCTCAGCGTCTCTGTGAACTGTGTCCCCAGGGGGCTGCCTGTTGGTGTGCTGGGGCCTCCTGAGGGCAGTGAAGGGAGCCGTCTGAATGCTGCTGCACCTGGCTGTGCCCGGGCCTGTCCACGGCCACCCTTTGGTGGAGTGGGCCCAGGATGGTAATATTCAGTGTGGCTATTTCTTGTGTTTGTGTAGGTGACTGTGTCTATGCATAAGCTCCATCTGTGCAAAGGGCTGTTTCCTGGGTGGGGTTGTATGTGGCTATGTTGGGTGTTTGGCTGTGTCTGGTTGTGTGCTTGATCCGTTTCGGCTGTGTCCCACTCTGGCTGTCTTTGGTTGTAGGTGTACCTGTGTCCTGCTGTACCTGCGTCTGGGTGGGATTGTGACCAAGGGCTGTACGGTGTGTGTGGAGTTCAACTCTGGTGAAGGACTGGGTACGGTGGACAGCTGAGCTGGTATGTGAGGCTGGGTCTATGTGTGGGTGTAAGACCATGTCCGAGTGTGTGTCTGAGTCCACATGGAGACCCATGTTCATGTGGGGACGATGTCCATGTATGTGCCTGAGGTCACATGCATGCTTCTGTGACTGTGTCCAGGTCTATGCCCGAGCCTGTGGTCACCTGGCTCACACCAGTACCCTTTGCCCTGAGGTAGCAGATCCTGTCACTCCTGCCCCTCCCCGTAGTATGAGCCACTCCCCCCACGGCGGGCTCCCACTCAGAACCTGGCAGCTCCCCTTCCCCCTCACCCTGGCCTACCCCGGCTCCCCAGGGTCCCGCAGCCCACCTGTGGGGGACAGCTCAGCCACACTGCCAATGTAGGGGCCATGCAGAAAGCGGGGCTCGCTGTCGTTGATGTCCTGCACCTTGATGATGAACTCCGACTCGGGCTCCAGCAGGCGGTTGGTGGCGCGGTCCCGAGCCTGGGCCCGCAGCGTATAGAAGGTTTTCTGCTCACGGTCCAACCGCTCCATGGCATGGATGTCACCTGTCAGCTCATCGATCAGGAAGATGGTGCCTGCGCCCTCACCCGAGATGGTGTACTTGATGGCCCCGTCACCCTCGTCGGAGTCCGAGTGGATCTGGAGAGGCAGGGAGGAAGACAGGGTGGAGGTGGGGGAGGAAGCTCCTCTCGGCCTCCCCCTGGGAATCCCGCAGGGGCCTGTTCCTAAGCATGTCCCTTCTTTACCACACCCATCCTTCAATAAAAACACAGGCCTGGGGAGCCATGCCTCACCCCTGTCTGGGCCTCACCAGCCCTCCGCAGCTCTCCCTGCTCCAGCCCTGCCCCCATAATCTACCTTTCGCTCTTCAGCTGGACCGCTCAGCCTCGGAGGCAGATCTGAGCACTCCCTTCCCTGCTTGCAGCTCTCCCATGGCTCCCCGTTGCCTTTACAAAGCAGCCCAGAGCCACTTCCAAACCAATGGGCTCCTCTTTGAGCACTTTGTCCTCACTTCTCTGCTTACTTAAACTCTGCTCCTCCCGCAGCTCCGTTCAATGCCGCCTCTTCCCCAAGCTTTTCTGGATCCCCGTCCCCATCCCCTCCACGACCTCTGCAGCTCAGTACATCAGCCATCATTATCATGTTCAGCTTGTGGGATGGCTGTAGCCAGTGTTTCTCCAGCCTCATGTGCATGCAAATCACCTGAGGATCTTGTTAAAATGCAGATTCTGACTTAGTAGGTCTGGGAGTGGGGCCTCAGTTAGCATTTCTAATAGGATTCCAAGCTGCTGTCCAATCTCCTCAGGCTCTGAGCCCCCAGAGGTCAGGGCTGGTATCTTACTCCTCTTACTCACATCTGGAGAGCCAGCCTCAGGGCGGGGCACATGAGGGGGACAGGGCATGAAGCGAGAGAGGAAAAAAAGGGGATGCAAATTGAAGGAGCACTTACTATGTGCCAGGCACCATGCTAAGCAATTTACATATTTATCTAGTTCAGGGTTCTTTATAGAAAAAAATAGTACTTGAGTAGGTTTTGCTACAGATATTATAGATTTTTTTTTTTTTTAGTTTCCCATGGGATGATTTGCTCCTTGGAGGAACTGGACTGGTCCACAGCCTGGCCTTCTCACTCCATCCTCAAGCCTCCAGGGAGGAGCCCGGGTGGAGGAAGCGGCATTACAGCCTGGCCTTGGCTGCAGCAGCATCTCCCTGTGTGGCCACTGCCCCTCTCTGGGCCTCAGTTGCCTCCTCTGTAACATGTGATCTAATAGCACCTCTCTCCTAGAGGTGTTGGGGGATAGTTGAGTTGAAATCACACAAGGCCCTTAGCACCTGCCTGGCACCACATGACACAGTATTTAACAGCCAGCATGGCAGGGACACTGTCCAAGGGGTGGTACCACAGGAGGGCCCTGTGGGGCCAGGCAGGAGCCATGAGGTTGCTAGGTCACAGAGAGGTTCAAGGGGCCGAGGGAGCTGGGGCGAGGGAGAGGAGAGAGGCTGTTTGTCGCAGGCAGGGAGCTTTGTCACTATCTCAACAGCCAGCACAACCACACTGGCATGTGCGAACTGAAAATCAGCCCTGCCTGAGACATAATAAGTGTCCAGTAAATGGTCACTATCATATTATTATGTTATTACAAAATGTTGGCCATATATAACTGGGATTTAGTCCAAGCCCTCTTAGGCTCCAGATCCCAGCCTCTCTCCTCTGCACGGAGATCTTGTGGGCAAGCAACCAGCCAGCAGACTGTTCTCCCAAAGAGAAACACCTAAGTCCTTATCCTCTAATGCTCCAATCCCCGAGGCAGCTCTGAGCAGAAGCAAATGCATCCAATGAAGCGGGTGACCTTGGGTGGTCCCCACTCCTCGCTGAGCTTCCACAGAGATGGGGTGTGAAGGAGAGAATCCCCAAGTCCCATGTCTGGCCAGGACCCCGTGTCCCCCAGCCCACTCAGTGGGATAAAGGTGCCAAATGAAGTCATCACCGAGGGGGACGAAAGCCCAGCCCCGGCCATGCTGGAGGAGTGGGGGAATAAATTCTGCTGGTGGAACTTTGTGTCTGAAAGGTGGATTATAGAAGTGCCATTTGGAAGATTGAATGGCCCATAAACATTTTCATATTTCATTAGCCGATTAATGGGCATCTCTCTCTTTTTGGCGAGTCTGCTGATTCTCAGCAGAAATTGCGGGGAGTAAATGGAGGCGGCTGGTGGAACCTTTCTGGGTCCCCATCCTGTTATAGATTGCCCCAATTAATGCCTGTCCTGGGCTCCACCAAGAAGCCTTCTTCCTGTCCAGTTACTGTTAATAGATTTCTCATAAGTGGCTGGATTGTAAAAACCTCATAACTCAGTTTAATGCCCCCCATAAAATTATCTCAGAACGGCGGCCCTGAATCATTGGCAGTGCCGGGATGAGGAGACCTGTCTCTCCTGTTGCTGTTTGTGCTTTTCCTCCACATCTGCCCAGGGGACATGGCCACAGGAGAGGGGGGACCTGTTCCATCTTAGAGTGCCTGCACCCACTTTCCAACCAGACCTGGCATCTGCTTACTTCATCAGCAAACGTTCCTGAGCAGTGAGCAGAATACCGGCGTACCTCAGAGACATTGCGGGTTCGGTTCCAGACACCACAATGAAGTGAGTATTGCAATAAAGCAAATCACATATTTTTGCTGGTGAAGGCTCTTGCCTTCAATTTGTAAAACAACAACAACAACAACAAACCCACCAACACCAGCATCTGTGAAGCGAAGTGCAATAAAACAAGGTGTGCCTACAGTTCCCTACCATTTGGGGGGATGCTTAACAGCTATAATCTTACTTGTTTTCATCCCTGCCACATGGAACACTATTATTCTTCCATTTCTCAGATAGGAAAACTGAGGCACAGACAGGAGGAGCCAGCCCCTGATCCCATGACTTGTGACCACGGGCTTGTTAATTTTACCTCTCCGAGCCCGTTCCGCACTCCCCTGAGAAATCAGATCCAGCCCTACCTGGTGCAGGTGTGGTGAGGCTTAAATGAGAACATGTAATGACCTAAACACTATGAATGGCTGTTTTCTTCTCTTTCTTTCTCCTGGGTCTTCCTCATGTCCCTGCAGCCCTTGACATTTTCACTCAGACCCCGGACAGGGACCAGTGGAACTCAGGGGTGATGTCATCAATGTTTTTCCATGAAGAATGACACAGAGTTCACGCTGGGGCCCCGTGGCTACCCTCTGGGGACTGCAGAGTCAGACAGGGCTGGTCAGCCTGGGCAGGAGCTAGGAGCTGAGGATTCGGGCTGGTCTGGGGCTGCCTGCCCTGCTTGCCCGGCCCTGCTCTGCAGTGGGGAGGGAGGGAGTGCCTGTGGCCCCACCTGAGGACATTTCTCAAGACTTCCAGCTGTGAGTGGAGGCTGGAGGCTGGTGCTCTCATTTATCGATCACTTGCTACATGTCAGACATGTGTTGGTGTTGCAGGCCTCCGCAGTAATGGATTTAACTTTATGGGGTACATAGATGCACCCCGCTTTCCAGGTGAAGAGATGGAGATGGGCCCTGATCTGTTTGACTCCTATGCACAGGCTGGTTCCCCTGCAGCCTCTGGGGATCCGGTGAGTCCACTTGCAATGCTTCTGGCTGAGGAAGAGGGACAGAGGAGGAGGGAGTGGGCCGCAGGGCAGTCACTGGGCTGCACGGCTTGCTGGGAGGCCCGGACACCCGTCTTTTTGCCCTGTACTCGGCAGGCCACAGTCATTGGCAGCCTCTTCAGTCTGAGCCTCTATTTCATCATTTGGAAAAGGACTTCGAATCACAAGTCAGGAAAGGTGACAAGCTTTGGCTTCAGGATTTGTTGGGTGCCAGCTTCAGTTTTGTCACTGACCTGTTGTATAACCCTGTTGCATAATCCTTCTCTGAGCCTCAGTTTTCCCATCTGTACATTCATAACCCTGGGTAAGAGGCAATCCTTCTCTGAGCCTCAGTTTTCCCATCTGTACATTGGGCTGATTTAATCTTTCCATAGATTTCAAAGATTCCTAAGATCATATGTGGAAGCTCCTGGCACATAGTAGGTGCTCAACGCAAATTCACTTCCTTTCCCTTTCCCACCCTAGTCTCAGGAGGATTTGAGGGTCGCTGAAATCCTGACCCACTGGAGATATAGGGGCCATCATGCAATATTTGCTTCGAGTCTTTTAAACTCAGCTTGTTTCCTCCTTCAGTTGGTCTTCTCAGATGCCCTCCAATTTGGTTGCAGAACCCTCACCCTTCCCTGTCCCCCTGTTGCATGCACACTCCTCTAGAACACCTCAATGCTGCATATCAGTCTCCCCAGCTGTCATGGGCCCCAGGGGCATGGACTAACTGGTTACTCTCTGTCTGAACTCCCCAGGCCTGGCACACACTAGTGCCCTGACAATGCCTGCAGAGAAAACACAGATAGATGGGAAAGTGGAATGTGTCTGTGTGTATGCACACGAGAGTGGAGATTTTGAGCTCCTTGAAGGTCAAGCATATGGCTTTGTTTCTAGCTCCCCAGCATCCGGCACAGGGCACAGCACCAAACACACTGAATAAATGAATAATGAAATAAACAGCTGTCATTAGACTTCCCCAATGTCTTCTAGGCTTTCTGCAAGGTCCAATCACTGTTAAATTGCAGGTACACAGGAACTAGACTAGGGAGGGAAGTCACTGGGCACACTTCCAGACCCTTGACCATGACCTCATTGGTATCTCATAGTGATCTTGTGAATTAGAGATTACTCTCTCCCCGTTGTATAGATTGGCAAACTGAGGCCCAGAGAGGGCCTAAGGTCACAGCTAACAAGAGGCAGCCCCAAGGCCTGTCCGACTCCCCATCCTGGGTTCTTTCCATTGCATCAAGTGTGGATAGCCCAGGAGGAGACTGCCTCTCCCCAATCCCAGCCTCAGATCATAAACAACACACAAACACAAGAGTGAGTGCTTCCACCCGGGGGGGCTGAAAAGCAGGATTTATGAGGCCATTAATTACTTCCTCCTAATTAAATCAAAATTAAATGCGAGCAGAGGTACGTTTTCCTTATTAAAGACAATTAAATGGACAGCGCAGCTACGCAAATAAAACGAGTCCAGGATTTAAACGGAAAGCAAATCAAATAAAAAG